ATAATATACACATACATATACTTTTTTCATAACATGAAAAATAATTAAGTATTTTTTGAATAAGAATTAAAATTCAAAATACTACTTTTACAATTTTTTAAATAAAAGTGAGAGCCTTGTAAACATATATTCAATTTAAAAAGTTGTTATGATTATAAAAATAGAAATTAATTTTATAGTAATAAAGTTCTCAATTCTATTTTATATTCAAATAAATTTTAAAATTAATTTTAATAAAATTTCACTAATAAAAATCAAACTCAAAAATTTATAAACAGACACTGACACGCATAAACACACACAAAGAAATGCAAAAATAGAAACTTAATACACATTATATTAAAATAACCATTGTAAGAAATAAAGTTGATATTAATGAACTTAAGGTAAATTCAATAATAAGATGATATAAAATTAATAAAGTTATAGGTGAAAACATAACAAAAATAAAATAAAATATATAAAAATGTATTACATGAATGAGAATTGAAAAAAATTACTGCATCTAATATTTGATTAGTTTTTTTTTTTTTTACAAATTATGTGGCGCAGAGTGGAGAGTGATAAAAAAAAATTTATACTATGTAGGGCAGAGCAGAACAGGTTGAAATCTCAATGGGTTTGTATGAATTTCCCCACAACCGGCTCATCCATTTGTCATTCCTACGAGAATACGATAATGTAAATAAAAATGTGTTATATGCCTCTCTTTACATGAGTTTCGAACATGTTGGTGTTAATTTCAAATAAGAAATAGATTACTCTATCTGTACTATTTACGTGACACACTTTACTTCCGGTTTTATTCCGAAGAGTGTGAACCATTTGAGTTTTGGAATTATATGATCTTATCATCCATATTTTATCTTAATTCGTGAATAGTTTTCATAGAAAATATTCAACGTCAATGTAAGAAAAAGAAAAGAGAAAATGGCCGAATGACCCCCTAATCTATTAGTCAATTTCCAACTACACACCAATACTTCACGGAAGTCCTATTACCCCCTTGAACCTTTTATTTTCAATATTTTGTAGCCCTTAAACGCTGACATGTCCAAGCAGGTGAATGCACTTTTCTTAGGCGCGTAAGAACCTATCTAAAGCATATGATCTGCATTTTAAATCCATGTGTAAGATGAAATCAGCCTAAAATTAAGGCCGCCAGCTGTAGCTTGCACTTTTGGCCATTTTCTAAAAAAAAATCTTCTTTCTTCTTCCTCTTTTCTGTCATTTTCAATGCTTAAGTTTTATCATTTTCCATTTCAAAGCTTCCAATGGTATCTTTCATTTGAAAGTCTGATGTTGTGGGGATTCGTAATCCTTTCTAATGCTCTCCAATTTCAAATTTAGTGTTCGAAATTTTTCTCCCCTATCAAAAATTATAAAAAATTTGGGTACCGAGATTCATCGATAATGTTTGAAATTTCTTCTCCTTGTCTATGTCCATAATATAAGTTATTTCCCTCTTCAAATCATAAATATAAAATCGCAGAAAACGTACACGCATTATTTTCCTCCTCTCTCTAAGAAGAAGAATCATGAAAATACTTTTCTCCTCTCCATCACTTGATCTACCCCACAAGATTAAAAAAATTGTCATTTTTTACTCACTTGGGTCACCATAACTAGGGGTGTAAATAGGTCGGTTTGATTTGGTTTTTCATTAAAAAAAACTAAACCAATTATGTCAGTTTATTAAATCTAAAAACCAAATCAAACTACATAAAGTCGATTTTTTCGATTTTTTATAACTATACGGTGTTTGAAAAAGAGATCAAATATATTTTCACTTATCTGTGTGATAAGCTAAACTTAAAAATGTTAAATGAATAGAAATTTTTGAAAAGACGATAAAATTCACACGAGTACGTACAATTTTTTTTTGAAATATCAACGCTCATTATGTTAAATTAATAAGATTAAAGGCTACATGCAAACTGAATACAAAACAACTTTGAATTTGAAAAACTATAACAATATAATTGTAACTTCGGATCTAAATACAAAATAAAATATTTACAAATTTTACAAGCCCAAATTTGAAATAAAATATATAAACACTGAAAACTATAAACTAACTAAAAATATATTAACAAAGTAGATTATAAATAATATTTTTTATCTATAAATAAATTAAAATTATATATATATAATATTATGTCGGTTTGGTTTGTGTTCGGTTTGACTTTTTTTCTTTTAATGCCAAACCAAACCAAGAGTGGTTGGTTTTTTTTTTCAACCGCCAAACCAACCAAACCAAACCACAAATCATTTTTTTCCGGTTTGATTTGATTCGTTGGTTCGGTTTGACTTTATGATTTGACTTGTACACCCCTAACCATAACTATGTGTTCTTATGCTAATAGAAGAAGCTAAGCAAAAATGAATGTTTGAAAATTAATTCTTGAAATGGTAAAAAGTGAAGTACTAAGAAAAATCATTTCTGGATGTGCAAAAATTACTTGTCATTGGAGTTGTAGAAGAAAGATTGATACACAATTGAATCATACATATTATTGGATAGTTTGAAATTAGAAATTTCATCCTAACTTAAAAAGAAAAGTAAAGGAAGTGGGATCACTGGATCTGAAATACAAAGAAAAATAGAAGTGATAGGAGTGGGCCCCGCACGTTTATATAAACATGTGCATATATCTGGTTAATGAAAAAAGATCAACGTTTAAGGGTTATAAAATATCGAAAATAAAAGCTCAAGGGGGTAATAGGACTCCCGTGAAGTATTAGTGTGTAGTTGAGAATTGACTAATAGGTTAGGGGGTCATTCGGCCATTTTCTCAAAAGAAACGAAACAAAACAAATTTAACTCACCTCAATTCGTGAATAATTTTCCAGCTAAATTTAAATAGGAAAAGTGCCTAATATATCTCTTAATTTTTCAATTTAGAGTTAATATACCACTTATTATAAACATGCCCCACATATATCCTTACTGTTACTCAAATGACCCAGATATACCCCTTTGGTCTAAGGAAGTGAATACATTAATTATTTTTTAAAATAATTATGAATTTATTATTTTGATGGTCAAATTTAATTTTCACTCATTTTTTTGCAAAAATTATCATAGATGTCCAATTCTTTTTTTTTTATTTACAGATACAAAAATAAGTTACAATATAGTCGCAAAATATTTATTTTTAATTAATTTACTTTTTTACCTTTTCTCTTTTTTTCATTCACACTTTTTTCTTTTTATTTCTCATACTTTTACACTAACAAATGAAAGAAAAAAAATTAAATAAGAATAAAAAGCTCAAATAATGATAAACAAATAGTCTATACGAGAGATATTTAATACTCAAATTAACCATTGAATAAAAAAAGTTAAAAGAAAAATCACGTGTTAGAAAGATCAAATATATGCTGAACTTTGCTAGAAGGATCATATATAACCCTACATGGATTTTAAAAAAATAATAGTAAATAAATAAATTTAAAATTATTATTTTTACTTCCATTAGATGAAGAAGTATGTATAAGCTACTTTTGTAATGGTAAAAATATATATGATGTATTTTTGTAGCGGTATGAATATACGTACACCATTTTTATAACAAGGTGTATATTATATTCTAACTTTGATGCACGTGAAAGTGCTTTCTAACAAAGAATTTAGTCATATCAATCTTCGAAGAGTAAATTGTTGAGAACATATCGGGGGTGTAAAAAATGAGCCCAACTATAAGTAACTCGTCTAGAATTGTAAGGGTTGAACTCAAGATAATTTGAATCGGGTTCAATCTAAACTCATTCAAGCCTTAGCCCATTTTAAGAGAATCCTCAATTGAGCCTACATTTAATCTTCAATTTTAACCCGTTTTTAAGACTCTTTATTTTCCTTGATGGGGAAACTTACATAAATATACTATATTAAAAAAATATTTACCATTTATAGCAATAATATTAAAAAAATATTTACCATATAAATATATTTACCATATATTTATAGCAATAATATATATTACACACATAATTCACTTTTAATACATATTGCAGATTTAACATATTATTGTTATGTATTGCTATAAATGATAATAAATAAAAAGTATTGCTACAATCAATAATTATTTATTAAAAGGTACTCATCCAAGTAATTTTTCCTTGATGGTAATGTATATTTATATATTGAAGGTATGAATTACTATATATATTATATCTTTTAGGATTTATCTATCCATTTGTAATTTTTTTTTTTAAAAAAATTTCTTGAGTCGAAATTCAAATTGTGGTTATAAAACTTAAATAATAATATATTAAAATTATTGAGATTAAGCGGATCAAATTGAGTGGGTCAAAACCCAGCCCACTTTAAGCCCATTTGAGCCCAAAACAAATTTGGATTGGTCAGAACCTAATCCAATTTCTATTTCAACCCATTTTAATATATTCAATTTTAACCCAACCCGCTCATTTGACACCCCTAGAACGTACCTTCAAAGAGTAAAAGGAATGACAATAAATTAAGTTATATCAAAAGTATAATGGTAAATAGTTTCGGGCCTCTTAAAGATCATAGTTTCACAAGTGTAAAAACAATACTTTTGCACTATAAGAAGGTAATCATTTAGCAAAACAGGGTGGGGTGGGAGCACAAACAAATTCAAAAAATGATATTATTCTTGTTTGAGCCGAGGTCTTATCGGAAACAACCTCTCTACATCACATATCTTATCGGAAACGGTCTGTCTACATCACATCTGAGGTAGGTCTTACCAGAAACAATGCTCTGTACTACCCTCCACAGACTTCACTGTGTGGGACTACACCGGGTATGTTACGTTGGTGTTTCATGTTTGAATTATTCTTGTTAGAAGAAAAGGTAGAATTATGTTAACTAAACGAGGAAGAAAATCTGCACTTCCATCTCACTATCCAGTGAAGAAGACACCAAATGCTATTATTCTTTCTACTAATATGAAAAAAATATTAATAAGTTGAAATCAGACACCAAAACATATATTATTCAAACATCTTACTAGTTTACTTACCTTTCACATCATTTTGGGAAGACTCTAACAAAGAGCAAATTCTGATGACGTGGACTCGGAAATTCTTCGATGTCAAAATTAGCTGATTCTTGTTGTTCTTCCAGGAATATAATTCTCATCCCAACCTCCTTGATACTGAAACGCGTTTTAGCTTCTCCCACACTGGCTGAAACCTCTATAACATCACCAGGTTGCAATGAGTTTCCGATATCCCAATAACTTAACCACATCATCCGCTCTTGATCACCTTCAGGAATACCTATGAACAAAGGATCTTGCTTCCAATTCATTATTCGCGACAAGTTAGTGATTGAAATGGATGGTAAAAATCCCTCGGATACAATTTCCTTACTCTCCGAACATGTATACACAAAGCAAAAACTTAAGCCACGAATTTGATGATTAACCGGCACCATAAATGATGAATGGAAAGGCTCACTTAACTTTGTGTTAAACCAACTTGGCATGTGTTCACTCAATAAAAATGTGGAGAAGATGCCGTTGCAGTAAAATCCCTGAGACAATAAAATTAAGCAGTTGCAGTATATTAGCATATTTATTATATATATGCTTCAGTCAGTTTACATGCATAGAAACAAATACGAGTACCGTACCTGAGCTGGAAGCCTTTTAGGTGGGAGACACCGTATAGTTGTCATATCATTTCGGACAAATTTTGGAAGTTTCATTGGGTTGGAATACAATGTCTCGATGTCGAATCTTAATCTAAAAGAAACATATCTAATCATTTCTAAGTTTGACAGACTCAAATATCTGAGAATTTCTTCATTTACATTTTCAAGAGGTTCTAACTTGAAATAAGGATCCATCTCAATCAGATTAGCACAATTTATGTAAAGTACGCCACATGAACTAGGTAGGCCACATACTTTCTCCAAGGATATACAATCATTTGCATCCACAGTGTCGACACCATTTGGCAGTTGACTGATTGATTTTAGCCTTGTACACGAAGTTAGTGACAGTTTTTCAAGTCTGCTAAGATGTATGATGCTCTCTGGGGGATAGGAAATTGGATTTCCGCTCAAATTCAAGTCTTTCAGAACATTGAGCTCGCTTAAATCAACATGGAGAAATGCATTATCACCTAAATTGCAGTCAGAAAGTCCCAAAGTAACTAGAGAGGCTGGAAAACTGATTGGGGAAATTCTCCGACATACTTTCTCCTTCCTCAGCCACGACCACTGGACGGGATGCCATGGTAGGACATGCTTGCTAGTTACTATTTGGTTCGTTCCAATTCCATCAGGAATCTTGCCTGGCAAATCCATGGCCGCATATTCAAGATTACAGCAACCAGAAATATCAAGGGTCTGTAGTAATTTTAACATGCAAATACTTTCTGGAATCCTCCTCAACTTTGTACAACCATTAAGGTTTAACAGAGTGAGTCCCTCTAGATATCCGATAGATTCGTCTACCTCTGTTAGATTTATACAGCGTTCAAGGATTAATTGTTCAAGATTCGGAATTTCTGAAAAATCAGGTGTTCTTCTAAGCTGATAAGAGTGGCTGAGATTGAGAAACTTTAGACATCTGATTAACTATGAATAGAACAAAGAAATGAAAAGACATGTTAGATGGCCAATTGATGACTTCAAAAACGAACGACGCTGAAATAGATGATGACAAAGTGATTGGATAAAGTACCTTTGGTCCTTTCCAAAGCTGTTGCAAGCTGCTATATCGAAGGTCTAATGCAATGAGACTTTCCAATGGCATGTCACTTGGTAGGGATTCTAACCGGAGGCTATGCCATGACAACCATCTTAACTTCTTGGGAAATTTCTTGTAACATCCACAGAGTCGTACATTGCTAAGCAATAGAAATTTTAGCTTGCGCATTTTTATAAATGCATCAGTTACCAAATCTTCATTTGGAACTCCCACGTTGTCCATGGTATGACTTGAGAAAATGGACATCCAGCTTCGTTCCGGTTGACATCTTTGAGAATTATGCAGAAATACTTCCAGTTTATGTTTTGTGCCATAATTTTCACTAGATGTTATCCTTATTTTTTCGTGATCCTTAAGCATATTTCCGTCAAGAATGATGCCTTCAATTGTTTCTGTACCCTGATAGAAAATGAAAAAGACATCTAAGAGAAGTGTACACATGGTTTAAAGAAAGGAAAAAAGCCCCCCAGTGATTAAGATTCTTACAGTTTTGTTTTTCAATACATAAAAAGATTCTCCATGACGCCACAGTCTACTACGCCTCCCTGGCTCCTCAAGTGACTCCTGGCGAACAATTTCTCTTCCCATATCTTGAATCAATTGATGCATGACGAGATGACCATTTGGTACTGACAAGAGATCCCTATCGATTAGGTTCTGGATTCCCACTACAGTGAAAATTTCACATTTATCTAGTATTTTGACAGCAAAATCTTTATCCTTCCCGAGAAAGAAACAGGCTATATGAAGGAATACACTCTTATCATGATCATCTTCTAGAGATTCATAACTGATTTTGAGCAGTTCAATAATCCGATTATTAGGAACAACTTTCAACTTATCTATTGTACTTTGCCATACATCCAGATTTTTTCCTGCCAGGGAAGAACCCAAAACTCTCAGTGCAAGTGGAATTCCTCCACATCGTTTCACGACTTCATTTGAACACTCAAGAAAACCTTCTACAGGATTTGGTTTTCCAAATGTATGCCAACTGAAGAGCTCCAAGGATTCATCTCTGTCAAGTGTCTCAACTCTATAAACCTTGTCAACTAGGTGAGGATTTAGAATACGCTTCTGTCGGGTTGTTATGACTATTTTACTTCCCGGGTAAAACAAACTTTTCATCCCCAAAACTGCATTAACTTGATCAGAGTCATCGACATCATCAAGAACAAGTAGGACTTTTTTTCCACTTACAGCATCCGAAATCTTTACAATTCCTTCATCAACACATGATACTCTTTCCTTGTCCTTTTTCAGAATTTCAGAAAGTATTTGCTTCTGCAACTTAACTAAGCCATTAGGTTGCTTAGAAACTTCCCTAATGTTAAGCACACAACTGCTGCCTTCAAAAACATGAAAGTTTGACATGTAGATGAATTTGGCCAGGGTAGTCTTCCCTATGCCACCCATCCCGCAGACAACCAATAGTCCTACATCACTTGATCCATCTTGCATCCACGAGTTAATATGCCTAGCCCGGCGTTCTATGCCAATTAGGTGAGGTGCAACATACAAACCTGACCGACTTATTCTATTTGTAACCACATTAACAATCTTTCGAATAAATTTTGACTCATGCCTGCAATTTTCAATGACAAGAAACAAGAAAAGTGAGATATAACTGAATTGAGTGTAAAATACTTTAGGCCATGAATGATGGATGACTCAGCCTTATTATGCAATATCTTTTGGTTGCAAGCAATATGAGAGTTCCTTTCTTCTCTAATGTTAAGATTTTAGATGAAGTGGTTCACATAGTTCAGTATGGTAGTATCAAAGCACATAGAGATCATCCTCGATCGTTCAACTCTCACCCCAACCATCAACGAAAATGTAGCTGCAGGTCTGGAGTGCTTTGAAACCCGCATTAAATTAATAAATTGTCTCGTATCTAATAATTCAAACTATTAGATGAAATGGTCACATGTTGGGGGCATGCTGCAAACCTGACATTACTAACAAAGGTGTCTTCTCGGATCAAGGATTTTAACTTTATAGGTTCGGATTGAAAAATCCCTCTAATTTACTGGGTCCGAATTCTAATTTAATGGGGTTTCCAACACATCTATAGAGTCTGAGCCAAAGCTACTATGGGCTCATTCACATTATTAAAACAAAATTTCTCAAATGATAACTTAGCTCTTTCACAAGAGGTTTCGAGTTTGAGACCTGAGAATCCGGATTAGTCCCACAAGTAGGTTGCGATTACTAAATGACTAAACAAAATTGAGGAAGAAGTAGAGAGAAATTTACCCATTAGCTTGATTCTGCAAGACCATTCCCCCAAAGTCAGCAATTTCAGCAAGTGCCTGTCTCCATCTTTCTACACTTACCCTTCCACTGCTTTGTTCATGTAAAGCTAATGCTTCACCAATTTTTCCCTTGTGGTTCCTTATATCAGAAGGATCCACATCATAGAACACGGGTAGAATTGATCGATCTAATTTTTCTTTACACTTTAAAATCACATCAAGCTGCTCAAGACATGATTGAGACAAGGCATATCCTTCCGTCAGGATAATTACCGATACCTTCCAATTTCGGTCGATGCCCTGTTTGAAGGTTTGTATTCCAGCTTGAATTAAAGCAGTATAAAGGTGATCAGTGAAAGCCGTAGCAGTGTCTTCTGCTCTGTAACTCAACAATACTTGACGGGATGAAGATGAAGATGAAGATGAAGATGATGGATTCTCCATCAACATGTAAAAAAGTTCAGACTCAATTAGCTTCTGCAAAAATGATTCGCATTTTTCACCGCACAGACACCGACAGTTGGAGATCGGAGTCAATTAGTGTCAACGACAGAGGTCCACTGAAAATGATTGTTTTTGGATAATTAGTTAGACGTTATTACTATGTTCTTTTGTCCCGTATGATATGATGCAAGAGCGTTTAAGGGTGTGTTTGGTACCAAGAAATTTTTTCTCATGTTTGGTTCACTTAAATATTTATCAAATTAACTTATTTTATTCAAATTTAAGGAAAATGATTTTTCTTCAAAAAATTAAGGAAAACATTTTTCAAAACTCTACTTCATCCTTCAATATTTTTTTCAAAACCTCTCCATCCAAAAAAAAAAGAAAAAAAATTTAAATTTTCTTATTTTTTAGATTTCAAATATATTTTTACCCCTACCCTCCAAAAAAAATTTAAAAATTATTTTTGAAAAATATTTTAAATTTTTATATTTTTTATGCCACCCCGTCAATTTAATTTTTTTTATTTCTATTGAAAAAAGAGTCGGTTAATATTAAGTTATTACATTATTTCGGTAGTTTTGTTGTACTATTTAGGGAAAATTATATAAAATAACAAATTATTAATTCAAATTAAATATTATAACCACAATTTCATTTAATTGTAATCTGTAGCAAACACTTGCCATTCGCCTCTCTCCCCAGAGAATCTCGCTCACCATTCACCCTCGCCTCTCACTTTATACTAACACAAATTTATAAATTGCGTTTGTGTTTGTATAAAGCGAGAGAAAAGTGTATATACAAATACAAATACATATATTTTCCTCCTGTACACTTATAATTATACAAAAACAGATCTTCCCCTATCGGTTTTCTTTTGTCTTTCTCTCTTTCTCGCTTTATACAAACACAAATTATACAAAGTGAGAGAGAGAGAGATTTGATATACAAATGTTTTATTTCGATTCAATTGTATACAAATTCAAATTTTATGCAGATATGCAAACACAATCATTGATACATAACCGATATACATATACAATCGCTGCGCTTTTATACAAATGAATGCCTGCCTGCGATTTATACAAACTTGATGCTTCATAGCAAACATAAAATTTGCTATGAAGCGCAATTATGCAAACTATAGCTATAACATACAAATATGATTTTTATGTTTGTTAAACCTAAAATTTACTCTACTATTTATTGGTTGCTATTGTCTCGTAAAATCCATTAAACTTGACAAATGGGTCAAGTTAGCCCATATCTAGCCCGAAACGGCACCCTTAGTCTTGTCGAGGCCTATGTTGGAGAGTACCAATGAGTGGAGCTAGGAGGAACAAGGTACTGGTCTCGGTGGATCGGTGTTGGTGCTAGCCTAAGTTTGACCTGGTATGTTACTAGCCCAACCCAATTAACTATTATTTGACGGCAAATTAAATAAATCACATACTTTTAAGGTAAAATTACAATTTATCACTTAAAAGTTTATAATTATAGAAATCCTTCAAACGGATACAATAATATAAGCATTGATACATTAATTTGATGCGCGAGATACATTAATCGTTAAGTAAGATACATTACATTTTATACATGATACACTAATCTGATGTACATTTTATACATGATACACTAATCTGATGCGCGAAAATGAGAGATTTTGGAGATTTGTAAAACTTATAGGGGATAATGGTAATAAGTAAACTAAAATGTGGTAATTTTTCCATTGTTTAAAATAGATATTAGTGACTTAGCCAATTTAATTTAAAATTTAAAACATAGCCAATTTTGATGAAGACAATCATACTCATAGCAAAAGATTTAATCTTCTGATATATAAATATATGCAACAATTAAAGTTCAATTGTAAAATGGCTTTCCATAGCTTATGCCAAATTTAGTAACTAAGCAAAACCGGAAAACTTTTTTTATTTTTTCGAAAGAAAATTTGCCCAACATGACATGAAATCGGAAGGACTCATCCTTAAGGACTTGGGTTGGGCTACCCATAACTAAATAATTTAACTTTATTGTAATTATTTAAAATTTATTAAATATAAATTTATAAAATGATTCGAATTATATTAAATTCATGAACATATTAGTCCAAATAAATATTATAGATTAATATAATTGAGTTAATTATTTAAATTCAATAAATATGGATTTAATTAAAAGCCCGCTCCATAAAGCCCATATGTCATGTCACTTAAATCTGATTGGCCGAAGGGAATCATGTTCTAATCACAACTCTTCTATTTTAAAACTATAAAAAGGGGTCCTCATCTCTACAAGTTCAAGAATTCAAGCGTTCAAGTTTCAAGAACGATCAAGATCAAGACCACCGGATTCAAGATCAAGCTCGAAGCCCTTGAATTCAACTAGAAGTCAAGATAAAGTTCAAGAAGTCAAGATAAAGTTCAAGTTCAAGAAGTCAAGATAAAGTTCAAGTTCAAGATCAAGAACGATCAAGATCAGGACCACCAAATTCAAGATCAAGCTCGAAGTCCTTGAATTCAACTAGAAGTCAAGATCAAGATAAAGCTGAAAGCTCGAAGCCCTTGAATTAAGCTAGAAGTCAAGATCAAGAAAAAATTCAAGTTCAAGAAAAATCAAGATCAAGCTCAAGATCTCTTGAATTATATCCGAAAAGGCGAATTCAGAGGAATCGTAGAGATTGTAACTCTCACACTTTAAATCAATAAAATGATTGTTGCATAATTTTTCCGTTCTTGATTATTGTTTTCTCGACGCAAATTTTATTGTCTATATTTATAAAACTAATTATATCTATGTACATTAGAAAAGTTCCAAAATATTTTATCTCTCCTGCATTTCTTTAAAAAATTTCTTTAATCTCCACATTATTATTAGGGAAGCTTATCTAGTAGATCGTAAAGATTGTCAAGTAATTTTTCACATTATTTGTTATTTATCTTAAAATATATTCTACACTTTCTTTGATGAGAAGTTATTAGTATCACTAGAGCTTCTTTTAGAATTGCAGAGATAATTAAAAAGTTTAACTAAAAAAATAAAAATTAAACCACTTTTTCATAATTATGTTTCTATATATTTTTCAATTAAAAATTAGTTCATTGAATTTTTATCTCTTTTAATAAAGTTTTTGATGAATTGATTTAGCTATTATGTCGTATTCATGATTCCTCCTGTCATCTAAAAGTTTAGAAGAGTTGAAGTAGATGATTTGGTTTGTTTTAATTTCCCATTACTCTATTCAGAATGAAAAAAAATCTAGTTATTTTTATTAAGTCTTAGCTTCATTTTTTTCTCTAGGAGTGGGTGGGAAGTTCACGGACTCAGCATACGTTTTCACGGTAGATGTTTGGTTTTTGACCAAAAAACTAACCTGAAGGACGACTTATATTATAAATAAGGAATGACTTTTTTGTTCATTATTATATATATGTAACCTATGTTTAGCCTATACATAATAGGTATGTTTAGCCCAAAACTTTTTTTTTTAGCTTTATAATCACTAAATTTAATGACGAAAACAAAAGAACTATCCCTCAACTCCTTTCTGTTACTAATCAGATATCATGAGATTGGACCCTCAACTCCCTTCTGTTACGAATCTGATATTATGACATTAGAGATAAAACTAAAACATATTGATGATATGAGAGATAAAACTAAAACATATTGATGACATGAGATTGAAGATAAAGTCATAAAACTAAAACATATCGATGAAAACTGGTCATCACATATGATATAGATCAATATATATATGATATAATATCTGGTGGATTATAAAGGGAAAAGTTCCACGATTCGTCTAAATTTGAATTAAAATTTGACAAGGAAAAACTCGAGAAGTCATTTAAAGAGCTTGTTCGATAGTGGACAAATTTTCTCGATTATGAAAATGTTGATGTAAAAAGTCAACCATATACTTCTTCTTGACACTCCTTATAGTGTGGTGAACTCAAACTATAGTTTGATTTCATCTTTTAGAGATATTAGTGTCTTCGCCACCAAGTAGCAAATTACCCAAATATAAAGATATATATTATGTATTTACATGCTTTCAAAACTCAAATTTCGAATAAGAATATGCAGCGGGTAACAATAAACATGTATGTTATAAATGTGCAGCGGGTAACAATCATCATGTATGTTGTAACTTTGACCGAGAGTGAGTTGTTTCTCACTGAGTTGGAGATTTCGACTTTTCATCCGTTTAGATTTGATCAAAGTAGTCTAAATGACATCGGAGGAAAAAATGTGTCTGAAGAAGAACTGAGATCGGAGGAAAAAATGTGTCCAAAGAAAAACCGAGGTTGAAAACAAGAAATTGAGTATTTTCTTTGAAAAAGTATTCCCATTACCTTGGAGAATTCGCTTTGTGCAATAATTTAAAATGACTTTCCATAGATTATGTCAAATTTATTAATTTAGCATCAATTTTTTTAGATGACAAGATTAACATGGATATTTTTAGAAGGCTGGAGAAGCGGAAATGATTGATTTGGAGCTTAATATGATGTATGATGCTAGCCTCAGGTTATCTAAATTTCATAAGTGGGTTGTGCGGAGGGTACAATGTACGCCTCTACATCAGGAAAGTAGAAAGGTTGCTTATGAAAATCTCCCATCTTGTAATATTAAAATTTCAATTGGTCTACCGATATGTCCGATGAATTTTTGTCAACGCTCATTTTCATTATCAACAATAATACTGTAATATCTTCAACAATAACCATGTATGTTATAACTTTGACCGAAAGTGAGTTGTTTATCACTGAGTTGGAAATTTCGACTTTTCATCCATTTAGATTTGATCAAAGCAGTCTAAATGACATCGGAGGAAAAAATGTGTCCAAAGAAAACCAAGGTTGAACACAAGAAATTGAGGATTTTCTTTGAAAAAGTATTCCCATTACTTTGGAGAATTCGCATTCGTGGTTTATCCTCAAGAAATTTAATCTTTCGATTTGTAAACATTTTGTGCAATAATTTAAAATGACTTTCCATAGATTATGGCAAATTTATTAATTTAGCATCAATTTTTTTAAATGACGAGATTAACATGGATATTTTTAGAAGGCTGGAGAAGCGGAAATGATTGATTTGGAGGGTACAATG